CATACATGATTATGCCTGCATATTTATATATTTATATATTTGTTAGTAGTACGTGTCTACCAGTGACGGTACATTTCTTGCCTTCTCCATGGGAAAATTTTTCGCGGAACGGTGGAATCGAACGAAATGCCAAAGTATTTAAAGTATTCAAAGAATTAAAAGCGAAAGTAGAGGGTTCAGCCTTTGAAATAATCCCCAGGATTATTGTATGCCATTTTTACACGAAGTTACAACAGTCCACGTTTAAAAATGACTGCAATTAACTGGGAAAAAGATCAAATATTATTTTTACAGTGACAAGCATACAAATAAAAACACACCTTTTTTTCTACTTTGATTCTACGTTGTTAAAAAGAAAAGAAAATCGAATCCAACGATGCTTTGGAAGACATAATTAATATTTTAGTTCAATACAACTTGGATTAAAGATTAATAATTTAAAGTATGTTCCACGAGAGCGTGCATTGCTGGTCTATGAAACTAACAACTTATACGAGGACTGGATATATTCGTCAAAGCGAAACAAATTTTCCATAATAACCACATTATGGTAATTAAGTGACTGGCTCGATCACCGGATTTCAATTCAATAGAAATGCCGTGGATCGACGTTGAATAAGCAGTCAAACGTCAAAATCCATCAAATCTAAATGACTTATTCGATCCGTTCAAATAGGATAGACTAATATCGATGTTAATCGGTGCATTCGGTCCATAGGCTTCGAAAATGCGTGATCATTAAACAAAAAGGCAAATCGACATAATATTAACTGTAACGATCGTGTATACGTATAGAAAATAATAATTATTACGGTTATTATTTAAATAAACATGATACGTTGATATTAAGTTCCTATTTGCTTGCTCGCTTGAAACGTGCACGACTTGCTCCTAAATTAATTTTATTATGTTGTACGTGCAAATATTTACAAAATTACGATGATAATTCAAAGATCTAAATGTCGTTTAATATTGTACAAGAATATATTTTAAATTTGTAAATTAAAAACGATGACAGTCAATTTGTAGAAAGTATTTATTCTTATTTATATGCTCGTCACTATATGCGTGGAAGAGGTTCTTTCTTATTACAGAAAATTAAATTTCCAAAAAGATACAACGAGATTAAAATAGTGTATCAATTCAAACAGATGTTATCCATATTTTTCAACATCAAACATTTTATTTTTAGTCAATTTTAAACGCATTGGTAGTGATCGATTTCACTCTTTTTGTTATCTCTCAACGACTGTTTTTTTCCAATATATTGAAACTAAATACTCTCCCCGTATTTTACAATTTTCAAGTTTTTTATTCGTCATACGTTGCACAAAATTTGTTCGAATAAAAATTGTAATTTTCAAGCTCTCTGGCGATTCGATATTCTTTTTTCTTTGGACAATTATCGTTTCTGCGGAAGGAAGATATGCACGGGCGACATAAACTTCTCATTACGACGACGCGAAAATTCGAAGTTCACCCATACATCCGCGTCGACCCGCTGGCAATGCTGAAAATTCAATTTCATGAGCTTCCGATCGATTGCGGTCCCCGGCCCGAGGATACATTTCCTGACATGCCTTCAAGTATCGTTACCCTCTATCCTAAATATCTTCTCCCACGTTTCAATTCTCTCCTTAAAATCAATATTCTAATTCGACGCTTTCATTCAAGTTCATTTCGCGAATAAATTCTTTCGTATTTCGTCGCTATCTCTGTTCATTCTCTACTGTATTAATATTAAAAAAACGACGCTTACGTTGTATTCAAGATCCAAGGAAATCACGCGTTGCCATGTAAAAATTAATTAAACGATCGTCTCTTGACTAATGATACAGATTTGAAGTATATTGCATTTTTATACGAAACTAAATACCTGCCCAATTAATCAAGCTAATTAGGCAGCGGATATATACAGTGGCCCACAAAAGTTTTCGTATACCAGAGTAAAATTTGCTCGACTCAATCTTTTTGTTAAACACAAAATGTGGGGAAAAGCAAGAACAGAATTTAATAGAGAAAGTGTGCAATCTACACAATTTATACATAATCAATTTTGAAGAAATTTGTCTATTTGAATATTCTGAAAAATAATTTGAAAGTTAGTGCTAAAAAAAATTGGGATCTTGATGGATTTTAATTTTGACCAGGACAATGACCTTAAATATTTAAGGAATTAAATTTAGTCCAGCAATGGCTGACTTTTAATATCCCCCGTATAATCACACTTCATCAGTCTCCAAATTTCAACTCGATCGAGCACCTGCGGGAAGAATTAGGTCGAAAAATTAGAAAAAGGTCAATTTCGAACCGGGAAGAATTAAAGCAGATGTTACAATCTGAATGGGGCACGCTAAGACGAGTTTATTCTAAAAAATATTAATTAATTGTAATTTTAATACTGATACGAAGACCTTTGTGTACAGTTATTTACACTACGTAATAAATATTTCTCATTTACTCCTAGAGAAAATATTTTTATTCGATTTGTGCCCAAATCATTTTAAAGATTAAGAATTCTACTTTAATTAGATGTAACTTAATTTTTCATAAACTATTAAAAGGCTTTTGTGACCCACTGTGGACTAAAGAGACTCGAGTATTTAATATATGATTCTAAAAATATTATTGCCCAATTTTACCTCTTCGAATTGCTACTTTTAAGCTCAGTTAATGATTCAAATGGGAAGATATTTTTCTTAATCACGCTTCAAGGGTGCGAGAAATCTTCCAACCGGTGACTCGATTTTTCAATTGACGTTTCCCGATAGTATTTGTTATTTGTTCGACGATATTTTCAATATACATATATTCTACAACTTTACACTTTCGTTAAACAAGGATTAATTGTTTTCCTCGTGCAATAATTTCTTTCTTTGGGGTCGCAAACTTCCCGAAAATTGGCCAAATAATTCTAATATTCTTTTTATACCAAACGTTAGATATTTATCGAAATTAGCGTCTTGCGACAAATCGTTAAAATCGACAAAGCTTCGAGTCAGAATATAATAGGAAGCAAAATTTTATTCCTATACTTCCGTGATTATTCCAACAACCATGTACAAAGTATTTTTGCCTAGAATAGCAGCAATTACGTCGATCAAGTGTCGGAGATTCGCGCAATTTACGTCGCGGAATCACGTTCCTCAAACATACGCAGATTCACCTGCGATTCAGAGATTCGAGCGCACTGGTAGACACGGTTCGCACATTTAGATCGGAGAAGTCCCTATTTCCGAGACATCTCTCGCCTGCTAATTACACACCGTTCAGGATTATCGACGCTACACAGATTACTTACGTAACTTCTGTACAATATAGGACGATTCTAAAATAAGTCAAACTTCAGGAGCGCGTTTTACTCATTGTATCGACTGAAACAAGCAGCACAAACTTTGGTCTGTAAATACTTCGTTACAGTCTCTTGAATTTTAGTATCCAAACGCGAATTCTACGGTCGTTTTCGATCGAGAAACACCTGGCGAGTGAAAGGAATCAGAATTTTCATAAATAAACCACCGACGCGATGCAACTGGGAACCGCATCGTTGGAAGAAGCAGATATATACGATGTGCAAGCGATTGTCAAGTGATCATTTTTCAAACGCATCGCAGACGCGTTGTTCAGGGGGTACTTTCAACAAAACGTTTAAAATTATATTGGAAGACACGTAAAATTGACAAAGTTGCAACGCTTGGAACGAGGCGTTGCACGGGGACAAGTTGGAAAATTATTATTTATAAATAACATTGCAACGTGATTAGGTGTTCAATAATACAACGAAACAAAGCTTAACTTACCGAACTATTGCACCAATGTCTTTTATAATTGTTCCACTCTATGAAAGTGCCCCAAAGTGAAACTTTAAATGCTTTTCAAACTGGTGTGATAGCTAAAAAATGATTCAATCGACATTGAATTTCGATACTATTAAAGAAAACACCGTTTCGTTCGAGCTTAAAGAATTCAAAAGAAAATTTTTATCTTTAGGAATATCTTTCAGATTTAATTTAAAATTCTTACAAAAAAAGTATGATCAAGGATGATCCATTTTTGAAGTGTTTTGAGTGAAAAGACGTACAAGCGATTGTCAAATAATAATTTCTCGATCGCATCGCAGTCACGCGTTTAGGGGCGAAAACAGCCCGGTGTGATCATAGTGATTCGACGTGCAAGCGATTGGCAAATGGAGAATTGTTTCGATCGCGTAGACGTCGCTTCGTTCGAGCGGGACAACAGTTTAAAGAATTCGACGTGCAGGCGACTGTCCAATAATAATTATATCAATCGCTTCACGGTTGTATAGGTTGGAGAAGGGAGATTTGCAAAATTTAAATTAATAAGAACAATAATTAGAAACTTCTTGGAATTCTGTGCCTGGTATTCCAGAGACCCATGTTTTCACGACCAGCTTTCATCGATGCAATAAACAAGAACACGCTCGCGAAGTTTCAGCCCTTACTTTAGGGCGATTCCGTGTACACAGATTGTTTTCACGAGTGTAGGGCATCGCTGTTTACACGGTTGGATACATTAAGTGAAAGACGTCATCATGCATCAAAGGTTTCCTACGGTTTGCCCACGCCTCGTGTCCCCTCGAGGAAGCACTGACCCACGTCAAAGCCTTAAAGGATCCCCCTGGCAGCCGAGAATCTTACTTAGGGTCTCACGCTTTACGAAATCGCGGTCCAAATGAAGGACCTCGCTCCCCGTGGACGAAGTCCTTTCTCCCTTTTATCCCACATTGTCGTGTCAGCGATGTAATAGGGTTCCACCGAGATAGCACCTAACTCAGACCTGTCCTCGATCTGGCCACGTGCCGGGGTCGGATCGTAGACGTCACCGCGGCTGAGAAATTGCTCGGTGAAACGTTTCGAAGGACGAACTAATTCGTCAGTCTTATAGATCGTCCCTTCACCGTTCGCGATCTCCGTAAGAACGTACCGACGAACTAGTCACAGTCGACGCAGAGTATTTTCAACTCCCAACTACCCCCCCCGGGTGGTGGTTTCTGTGACGTTTCGACGATAGACGTCGGAGACCAGTTACCGTCGACCGGACTCTAACTGGTGAATCACGATCGATCCAAAGTCCGTTCCAGGACTTAGGCGTTCTCGAGCGATCGCCGCTTCCGACGAACGAACAAGTCTCTTCCGGATCATAGGAAGCTCTCGTTAGGGGCGTTCGCGGCCACGTCGATCGCCTCCACGTCCTGGTTCTCGAGGCACTCCACGTTGTTTATCTCGCCGGTCTTGATGTCGTAATTGTTGATGGGATCGCCGTACTGGCTCTGATAGAACTCCTCCCTCATCATGTGGTTCAGATTGCTGCATCGGAAGAACAAGATCTCCCGGAACGGTTTCCGAAAATCCCTGTTCGACGTCGCGTAGATGATGGGATTCAGGAGGCTGTTGCAGTAACCCAGCCAGAGGAACACGCTCGACAGGGGCGCGGGTATCGCGTCCGGGTCGTCCAGGAACAGCCTGACCGGGGCCAGGACGAAGAACGGCAGCCAACAGAAGGTGAACACGCTCATTATGATACCGAGGGTGGTGCTGGCTTTCCTCTCCTTGGCCAAGTGGAACCTCAGCTTCTTCCGATGGGGTGTGTTCGTCACGCTGCAGGTGCTGTTCAGATGATTCCTGACGATCGTCGACTTCGTTTGCGGCGTGGTCGTAGCCGACGACGAGGGGATCGACCGGTCGAGCTTCTGCAACATCGGGCACTGGGACTCGTTGCTCTTTCGCGGCCCACCTGTGAAGCATCGAACCGCGTGGACGCTGCACTGTAACAGAATGCCCACGGGAACACTGAGTCTTTTCTTTCACACCTTCCTTCACATTGTCCAACAGTTCTTTTTTTATTTCGTAATGTTCGCTAGGTGCCCCCGGTAGAGTTCGACACACGAATTTCCAGGCAAAATTGCTCCGTCGCCTTTAGTTTTTGATTTTAGATCGTTTGAAAGTTTGAAACAATGTCCATGTGCGTAGTTCATATGTAATATTTTTAGGAAAAGTTCGTTAACTCTCACTGTAGACATTTTTGAAGAAAAAGTTCGTGGTCCTCGAAAACCAAAGGTGATGGAGCAATTCTGCTTTGGAAGTGGTGTTTCGAACTCTGCTAAGAACACCCAGTGGATATTGTGGGACTAAATTCCCGTTGGACAGTGTTATTTACATGTTTATGGTGTATACAGGGTGTTTGGCCACCCCTGGGAACAATTTTAATGGGAGATTCTAGAGACCAAAATAAGACGAAAATCAAGAATACTAGTAAAAAAGTAAAAAATTTCTAATCATTCTAGAAAAATTATTTTCAGTTGCAGAGATAGATTACAATCATTTTATGTGAATAGACATACCCCCGAAATCCTATCCACTTTCGAGAAAAAAATTAATTACTGAAAATGTCTGACCAGGCGCTGACCTGTTCCCCTGAAATTTTTCAGCGAAATTGAAAAGTTTCAAATCGTTCTAAAAAAATTATTTTCAGTTCCGGGGGTCAATAACAATCATCTTTGCTGAATAGGTGTACCCCAAAAATCCCACGCACTTGCGAGAAAAAAATTCGAGAAGTTGCCTAAATTTTGCGGTGAAAAAAAAATTTCAAATCGTTCTAAAAAAATTATTTTCAGTTGCGGGGGTCAAATACAATCAGTTTTGCTGAATAGATGTACCCCCAAAATCCCACGCACTTTCGAGAAAAAAATTCGAGAAGGTGCCTAAATTTTGCGGTGAAAAAAAAAAATTTCAAATCGTTCTAAAAAAATTATTTTCAGTTGCGGGGGTTAATTACAATGAGTTTTGGTGAATAGACATACCCCCGGAATCCTACGCACTTTCGAGAAAAAAATTAATTACTGAAAATGCCTGACCAGGCGTCGATCTATTCCCCTGAAATTTTGCAGCGAAATTGAACAGTTTCAAATCATTCTGGAAAAATTATTTTCGATTGCAGGGGTCAATTGCTATCATTTTTGGTCAATAGTCGTACCCTCGAAATCCTAACCATTTTCGAGAAAAAAATTCCTTACCGAAAATATAATGTTTGACCATACATTGATACGTTTCCCTGAAATTTCATGCGTATGTTTAAAAAATCATAACTTCCGGAGGGATTGAAGGATTTTAATGATTCTTTGATGCATCTTCTCTTGGGAATGATCTACAGCTTGTCACCGTCTTTAGAATCACTCTGAATAGTATAGTATGAGTATTTCAACGACATAGTAAAACATTATAGTCATGCATCACACTGTCTATTTAGCTGGAAACTTTGTGAATATTCACTGGGAGGAATAGACTATGAATGATGCTGTCGCGTGAAAGTTATACCATTATTCGATATTGAATGGAATTTAAGTTTAAAAACAAATAAGTATATTTTGCTCGATCCGATTACGAATTTTCAAAACTTATTTTATTTTAAAAGTTTAAGTATTCATTAAAGAATTGTTTCATGTATTTAGTCTAATTCTATGACCGAAACAATAATTCATAAACACATTTCAGAATTGTTTAATAAATTAAAAGTTCTGTAAAAATAGTGTTTTGAGTAACGTTAACAAAATCGTCGTTCCTTGAAAGCTTCATTGATTTTAACACAGTCGTACAAATTTTTGAGGTCTCTACGAAAATAAAATACATAATCACGTCGATGAATAAAAGATCGAGGTTATAAAGAGAAATTGTTCGAAACGTTCACGAATTACATGCCCCGAATTTAGTTCGAAATCTGGGGGTAGGATAACAACACCTCTGTGGTTTCTACAATCCTTCCGGAGAAACGAGTCTCTTGCGTATGCAAGTGCAACTGGCTACTGATAAACAGTTATCATAGTAAACACGAAACTGTATGCCTCGTTGTAGAACCGCAATAGCGTTTCGACGCATGTAACGATGTGTTAATTGCTTATAATTCTGGCGATAGTTGTTGACGAAGCTCGTTTAACTCAAATTACTGTCGATATACACAAATTAATCATTTGACACTAGAAACTGTTATTCGAACGATGAAACTATTACTTTAATAAGAATAGAATACCAACAATGACAATGTATAGTTCCAAAACGAGTGACAGAAGGTGTAAATACCGATGAAAGTACTCGACTAAATTTAATAATAATAATCAGTGATATCTGTTCTGTTTGACGTTTGAAATGACATTCATTAACGCGCCATTCAGTCTGGATGACATATCCTCGAATCAAGACTTAGTTGGAGCTTTATGTATTTCAATGGAGAACGATTCGACCAGTACGACTTTTCGGTTGGTTTGAGGTCGGTTCGTTGACCTGAAAACCTAACTGGCTGAATCGCGATCTGCACGAACAGGCACAGTTCTATGGCTCTTTGGCGAGGATAAACAGATTAGTCCATTGAAACTCTGACGAGGTTGATTGCAAGGTCACTTTGCCGGTTGGTTGACAATTAACGAGAGAAAATCTCTAGATAATCCCTCTTTCACTTCCATTATTATTCCACTTTCTCGATAGCGTTTTCAAATTTCATCAATTGATATCAATTCGATATGACAATCGAACAGTTGAAATTGATTGAAGAAACTACATGTACATATCTTTGTAAATAATTAATATTAACAAATAAGCTTGGATATACGTCTCTCTATTTTTGCTCTAGAATCACCAAGAGTTTATGAATAAAATTGCTCGAAGAAACTAGATATATGTACATAAAAATCTAAAAATAGAGAAAAAGAAACGTTCGAATAAGATCAGTGACGCTACCCTTTCTTATTAGAAGCAAAGTTCACACCGTCGTGATATTTTTGCGACCAACTGTACGTGGCCAGTGGTTTCAGGTCGCGGTGAGGAATCGTCGGCTACGAAAGTGTTGAAATAAGTTAGCTTTTATCCGTCTCGTAAAGTAATCTCGTTCGTGTACGTGTGTGGATGCATAAGCGGGCTGATTGCGAACGATGTGGTCGGCGAAAACTGTCGGTGTACAAACGAACCGAAATGCAGATGTGCTTCCCGAAGCCGTTCCGCGCCCTTACGAATGCAGATGACATTCGGGATAATTGAGAGGAGCGAAAAAGCCCCGCGGGCGGTTTAAGACGCGAGACCCCTGGAAAACGGCAAGACACAGAAATCCACTAGCTTTACCAGCTCGGATTTACCCCCTCCACCCTCTGACGCCGCGTACCACCCGAGGAGGATTACTTCTGTCTTTTCGATTGTTTCCAGCGGCCCCATCGACCCTTTTTTTACGCTTTAATTTTATGGAAGATCATAATCTCGCTATTTAAATCCCGACCGTACAGTTTCTCGCGGACTGGCTCGCCTTTTTACGCGAATTAGAATTATGGTCGCGACGGGAACCGACTGCACGAACGGAGAACGGAGCGCGGATTATGGTTGCACCCGCTGCTTTCCTCGGCGAACGATTTTGGCCATTTTTTTATTGATTTTCAAAGTCTTACGTAGAATTTTTGTTTGGAAGAATCGCTTCGCGTGTTTTTTACTTCTATTTTTAAAAGTTTCTCCCTCAAAAAGGAACCTCCAAGAAACACAAGAGAGAATCGTTTTGTTTTTTATTTGCATGGAATCATTTACTACCATATTTTGATCAGTATAAAGTTACTTCTGAAATGGTGGCTCTAAATTGGACCTAATTGTTGAATAATTTCATAGCATGATGGATGGAATGATCATTTTCCTCGAAAACGTACAACAGACGCGGAACTTTGTTTTCTTGACAAACAATTTCCATAATTTATCACGTTAACGCCGTAGTCGAAAAATTAAAATGAAAACTGGGGCTCGTTATAAAACTCTGTTGATCGATGAATTGTGTAATCAATTAACGTGAAGTTTTCCCGTGAAGTTCCAACGGAAATGCGATTTCCTGTTGATCAATTAATTAGCGACGATACAGTGAAACGTTGCTGTGGAAATTTGATTTAATTCTCTTAACGAAGCCTTTGATTAGTATTTTGTTTTATAAGATGAAACGTTTCTCTGTGCTATCACAATAAAAACAGTTTTCAAGATTGAAAATCGATAATATCACGAATATTTCACGAATTATTAACACATTGATAACACTCGAAATTCACGACAAAGGGTGAAACTTAAATGATCAGAATATCGCTAATTATTGTGAATCCGTGAATGAAACGGTGATCAATTGTTTTATCGCGATGTTTCACGTCCACCGTTTCATAATCGTCTTAAAGTTACTTGAAGGTATTCAGCAACATTAATGAAAAGCCAATTTCACGTTAGACAGGAAGGTGTCGTTACAAAATAAGCTGGAACTTTGTTTTTAGGCAGATGCAAGGTACAAAGGAACATCTCTCGTCGAATAATTTGAAATTATCTCAAAGCAAATAGCAGTCGATGGCCAAAAATAAATGGAACGCATACATATTTATTCGGAACAAATATAATTCGGTTATCCTTCGTTACATTCTTCTACGAGCCAATATAATATAATAATATAAGCGTGATTTAAAGATAGAATCGAAGGATTTTAAAAAACATTTGCAAATCAAACGTTATTTATTTTATCGTCGAAGGAAAATCATTTGGTCGTTCGAAGCTATTTTAATTGATTATTAAAAATTTGTTATTTGTTATTTTGTAGATGCATGTATGAATCATAGATGATTTTTCTTCGATCCTGTTTTTAGATCACTCTATAAATAATTACAATGAACATTTCAGAACATAACGAAGTAAAATTTAAAACCTAAAAATAATGCTTCGAAGTGTTAACTTCCACGTATCACTATTGTTGCATTTTAAAAATTCTACTTTATCAGTACTATCAAAAGTATGTGACCAGTTTCTAATGCAAACACAAATATCATTCTGTAAAGCAAATTTTTCAGTTTACAAAAATAATAAAGAGCTTTTAAAGCGTTTTTCTCAAAACTGTATTTTTTAATTTCCATAATATCTCACGATCTACTTGATCGATTGGCACAATATTTGGCGTGCACCTTCGGTACACATTATTATAACCCGAACTAAAACTGTATATACTACGCAAACATAGTCAAAATAAAGGTCGTTAAACAGATTTTAAATTGAATGCTATCAAAATTAATCTTTTGTTAATGCTTCTCTAAACTGAACACGAATTGAATTGATTAGAATCTTCAGAATTTAATTAAATGAACTTTATAAAACTCGATGATGTTTGACAGTAGCTTGTCGCTATGGAACATGTATCAAACAATTATTTTTTACCGAAGCATAACAAACTATTGTATGTAGCAATGATAAGTCAAATGGTCTCATACTTTTAATCGATACACAATCGATTTTTTGCGCCAACAGGGACGTGCGGATATCCCAGTTTCGAGCTGTCAAACATCGTCAAACACTTCGAGTTCGAGCAGAACAAATCTCGATCAGTCGAACTGCTTGGGGATTATTCGAATCGAGGTGTATCGGGATTCGTTTCGACTCGACGACGTTTGACGTTGTTTGACAGCTCGAATAATCAGCCACCCGCACAACCCTAAACAGACAAGCCTTCAAGACAACACGCGCGATCAACGGATCGTCTAAACGATCGAATAGCAAAATAATGATTGGTAGATTGATATTAAGGTGTACCTTACCGCTGTCATATTTTCCTGCGTATCGCCACGAAGGTTCGATCGTATCTACAACAAACGTTTTACGAACACTTTCAGACTCAGTTATGGATCAAACGGAGTGCTACAAGATGCGTTTCATAGCGATGGGTAGGATGTTGCGTATTAATTTCTGACAGTTTTTGCGCCGTCTCTCTAACACGTTCACTGCCAAATTGTTTTTTATTACGATAAAATAATATTTACTCACGATACTTTTATATTTAGCATAGAAAGTCTCAGTCCTGTATGTTATACGTCAAGTTATCAGGAACTTTAATAAACTACAACTAACACATTCTAAATTGTGAATTATGAAATTAAAGTTCGCATGAATTTTTATAAAATACTAAAAACTAATTTTAATTATAAAATATAAAAAATCTTAGATCAACGTACATCCGATAGAAGAATATTTTATCAAATTTATTTATAATTACTGTCATACACGTATCGTTTCAAGAATTATTGTCTATAAAAATATAATTTCGACTTAGATGAACGCATTCCCGGCGGGGTAATATTTTTATTTATTTATAATTAGCGTGACGCGCGCACGCATGACGTGGGCAGTGAACGTGTTAACCGCGAGCAACGAAACGAAAGAGAAACGAACCAAACGCGCAAAGAGAAAATAATTGGGTCGAAGGGGGCGCAAAAAATGTCAGGAATTTAGCTGCATCGCTAGGGATAGTTTTACGGTCCTCCGTAAGGGCATGCTTCGCTAGGCTCGAGGATGATCGATGCGTAAGCCACTAATCTCGCGGCGTGTAATCCCGAAAGCTTGCGTAAATTAAATTCGGAACCCAGTACGAAATTAGGACGGACCTATCGGGGCCCTGCTCGTCTAATCCGGACGCGGAGCGGCGTCGGTGATCTCGTTTCGTGAATTGTTCGGTCAGGTGCGCGACGACCGATCGATCACGGTTGTCACCCTGTCCCTTCGTCCGAGCGGGGAAGATCGGGGAGGAGGCACTTCGTTAAAACACGACGCGCAATTTATGCAACGACGGAAACGGATTTCGCCCGATGGAAGTCGCGGGAACAACCGGGAAAACGATGCCGCGCGCTGTAAATTTTCGGTACTAGGTTCCTGAAGGATCTAGCTAGGCGGCTGCAACGCGACACTGAATGATCAAGCTGTCGCCCCGGAGTTCGCTTCGGGGCAAAAATTCGAACATTTTACGGTTACCTCGACGCCACGATGAAACATCGAACGATATTTTAATATTTCGCTATCGTTATTCAAATATTTCGAAATTCCTCGTTCCGTCTATTATTATTAGTTTTACTTTTCGATCTACGAGGAAGGATCGCGATCGAGGCAAATTTAATTCTTTCTTCGCCGGAAATAAATGCACATATATAGTATGTTTATTGTAGGGAAACGAGTATGTGGACAATATCGATTAATTTTTGTTTAGTATCAAGCTTTAGGTTTGCAATTTCTTGAGGGATTGATCTTTCTTTCCTCCTAATAATACCTGCGGAGTGGACAAGAGGAAATTATAAACATTCTATGAATTGTAAATATTCTTTTAAGTATCTCGAGTATTTTATTTACGAATTTATCTTCCAATTTGATTTTAATTAACTCTAATTAAAATCAAACTTAACTTTAATTAAAAGGTAATTCTACAAGCCATGATAAATCGAAAATACAGAATGAAATTTCTTCGACAATGCTTCATTATCAAAATAATTAAATTTGAAAATTTCTCGAGTGAATGAATAAGATTTGGTTTACGTGTCCGACCATTACTCACTGTTTCTACTTGATTCCGTCTAACCCATGAATTTCCATAATCAATTTTCTCGATAACGAAACGCTGTACGATAGAATTTTATTGTACACGATCGACTTATCTTTGCATACAGTAGAGCTTCCCTTGCTCGATTATGCTACCCATCCTGGGATATCCTGTACGTAAATATTTCGTTTGCACGATCAATTTCGTCGTGCCGTTGATCGTCGTAAATTACTATACTGGGTGATCCATCATCCCCATTACAGGGAATTTCTCATCAATACATCCATGGCGTTATAAATTACTTTTAGTCTCTCTTTTAAAACATTGTGATGGGACCGAGAGTAACTTTTTTAAAAAAATTATATAGTTCCTTGTTAAACAATAATTAAAGGAGATTCAAAGATACCCTCTTGACTAGAAACCTTTAATTTTATTTACCCAAAATTTTACAGTGTCAAGGAGAGATTCTCATTTACAGATAACACATTATGTAAAAAATTTTTCAAATTCATAAAAACATTCTAAGAACAGGCTTTATACAAAAGATTCCCAAGTGACAGTTTTATGATTTTGCGTCATCAACGTTATCCAGAAGAAACATGTATAAACTAGTTGTCAGATTTGTTCTGCAGAGTTGCTTAATATCTTCTAATCTTTATGGCATTTTTTGCAGCCTCCCTTGGAATTTTATGCACAAAGTTCTCGAGTTGTAAAAAGTACGGTAGTGGAGAAAATCCCATGATGTCAATAATTAACAAGAAGAGTCTTCGAGAAAGTAGATAATCCAGCCCATTGTATAAAACTTCTACAAAATACTCGAGGTAAGAATCTTTTAAAAACCATACTACATTATTATTTAAGATCAGTATGATTTATGGCGTTCAAAGTAACGATAAAAGACTTTATCATCAGAGAATGAAACCATTCATAGATAGAATATTAAAATGTCGATCAGCTACGTTTTTTTTGACCCAGAAAAATCAGGAAATCTAGGATAGGAGTAATAGATATAGGATAATAAGTTTTCACTGTACAAACTTGGCCACTAAAGATTTCTTATTAAGATTCCGACAAAAATTTAAAAAAGTAAAACTGTAGGTATTTATCAGAAGAAATTATAACAATTTTTAGTTACGAACTTCCAGGGGGCATACATTCATTCAGAATTATAACAAAGCGTTTAGGTTCCTTCTATTCTCATAATAATTTAATTACTTTCGAATATTTATTTTCTAATTTTTAATATGGCTCTTCGTTCACTTCTCAAAATTTTAAACTTGGCTCGTTTAGTTATAACAGATTTCTTGATAAAAATCCAACAAAAATGGTGATCTTTCTAGTATCTGCTATTTCGAGATGAAATTTCAGCACTGAGCTTCGATCGTTTCGAACTCTAAAAGGGATTTATTGGAGACCTTCGTACGCAAACAAAATTTTCCTGCTTTTATACTTCGTACAAGAGACCCTTAAATACACATTTCGGAAGCTATAAAGCGAAGAAATCAAAGACAGATAAAACAAGGCATATAAAAGTATCCAGAGAAACAACAGATATCACGAATACACTGCTGGAAATTGTAACAAACTGACTAAAACATTAACTAGAAAATTACTATACATTCCCAAGTAGTGAAATTTAGTCTCAACGTTTGTTACTCAAAACAGAGCCAGATATAATGTATCAATGTAAATAGAAATTTGTAATTTATTCGTAAAATAAAGCTAATTTACGGACGAGTATGAGATTTGTTTGTTTTCGTGAATGTACATGTAAATTTTGAATTGATTCTGGCTCGAAAGCAGCGGGTTACTGGTCTTGCTGGCGGTTTGGTAGCAGACGAGGATATTGGTTCGCGATCTCGGTCGAACGACGTCATTGTTCTTCGAATCGTTCCGAGGAATTGAATTTCGCGGACGTAATGTGTCCACATGTGTCGCGTGTAGTACAAGAATTTCAGCCGGAAAGCCCCGCGAGACGACGCGTCGACATTGTGAATCGTGATGGATGGCACGTGGAGGCTGACTCGAATTTCGATGGAAATTCATTGGGTACCGAGATATACGAACACGCCGCCAAGAATTTCGAAAGAACTGACCGTAAAATTTCTAGTTAAAATGTATTACGTGGCTCGACGAAACGAGCTTCGAAAGATCCTGAAATATCATATTTTGCCATTTCCTCGAAGCGTGTATATGTACTCATTATACATAACTAACAGGTCGAACGTCATAAATTTCCCTTAAACGTCACGGATACCTACGATAATAAATGTCAGCAATTTAACTTTATACATTAAAGGGTTGCACGATGTTAAAACCCTAAATGGAACACGCCCAGACGATGAATTTTGATTTTAACGTGTTTTTCTGTTAACCACGCAATTTTTCCAGACCCGTATTCGTTTTCATCCAATTTACCTCCGAACGTCGCGGTACTTTTCTATTAAAGCAGGATTATAAAGTGGAGATTTCCCGCGCGAAACACCGATGGTATCCCGTGTAGTTCGTAATAGCGTTAGACGAAATTGGATAGGAGAATGATGCCGTTGTTGCTCGGCACGGAATTGATGTAAATCGATGGTGTCCCGAGGACACATCGGATCCGGCTTTAGAACTGGCTCTTTCGTCTTTATTTCCAACCCACGGGAAAAGATTTTTCGCTTGATCGCGCGTTCTTTACGACTGAAATAAATCTGGTCTTGCCTCTTGTCGCGGCGAACGAGACTGCTGGTCGATTCAAAATAGAAAATACGAGGATCGATCGATAACTAACGATCGAGATAATCAATGAAACCGATCTTAAAACAAAGTGAATTTATTTTGTTATACGATCACCATTCGATGCAACACATTCTTAAAAAAGGCCAAAAATATTCCTAGATGTTAATTTGTGTTCACATTTTATCCCACAAAATATAAATCAACGCGATGTAATATTCTTGTTAATGGCCAAACTTAGTTAGTTAATTAGTTAGTAAGTTTGTTAGTTTGTTAGTTACATAGTTAGTTTGTCAATTAGTTAGTCAGTTTGCAGTTAGGTAGTTAGCTTGTCAGTTAGTTAGTTTGATAGTTAGTTAGTCAGTTTGGTAGCTTGTCAGTTAATTAGCTAGTTTGCAGTTAGTTAGTTAGTTTGTTTGCAGTTAGTTAGTTAGTTAGTTTGCAGTTAGTTAGTTAGTTAGTTAGTTTGCAGTTAATTGGTTAGTTTGTCAGTTTGTCCATGAAACGTGAAAAATAAATTCAAGAAGATCCTGTACGATCTAATCAGCCAAAAAATGTTCC